AATTTTTGTTAAGTGAAGAAATCATTGGACATCGAGGATTGAACTGATAAAAAGCAGGCTTTTAACTTAGTTTGAAATATTGCGCGCTCATTGCATGATTTAGTTGATGGAAAGAGTTTATGGAGAGATTTGTTTATATTTAAAATACTTATTAACACAAAATGTAGTTAAATCAAATTGAATCTAAATTCTTAATTTTAATTTATTCTCAACGATATTATGCTTCATTCATAATTTCTTGTTTTTTTTTCTAATCAGCATGATAATTACTTTTATTGCTTTAACGATCAACTATTGCTTCATCATCATCATCATCATCAAAACTTAATCTAAACCACGGTATTGAATCACTGGGGATATCTTGCYTCTGAGTCCTAAGACATAGTGTTGTCTTAATGCAATAAATAACCTAATCACGAAACAAGAAAAATTATTTAAAATTATTAAGACCTATGGTTATTTTATAAATATTCACTTTTGTGCAGGCTTTTTCAGTTGTAATAACCCAAGGAATATGATTATATGTGTTCCTGAGTGTACTAAGTTTATAATATTCTTCTTTCGGGCCTGACATCCAATCGTTTTCACAATACGACTCATCGACTACTACATAACCTAAGTTGTTTGTTTTTATTAGATAATTCAATAAATTCTGTAAAAAAAGATACAAATGCATAACAAAATATTTAAAATAAATGTTAGTTGAAACCATAGATGATTTAATATTATGTGGTATTAAATTTACTGACCAAGAAGTCAACCGTAGAGATTACATCGAGTGTCACGTATAATATACTATTTGGTAAACTCATCATACTGCATAAATGATGGATATTATKTTKTATATCAGCCCATTCTTCTGATGACGTCTCTGCATCAAGGATTTTTACGTAAACATCTTCATATTTTAAACGGCTTATCTGCATCTACAGAATCAAATTTTTTTYAAAAACACTTTAAATAAAATTTATTTTTTAAATAAAAACACACTATTACATCAATTCGTGACGATAGACCAACAAAAACTATTGAGACCTTTTTCTGACATATGAGTATAGGAAGAAGAAAGCATGTAGTTCTTCCGTGACCCTTTGGCAACGAAACAATCACGTCTGATTCTCCTTTAATAATAAAAAATAACATGAGATAGTATTAAATAAGTTATTATGGGTTTATGCATATTACAAACACACACATGATTATGTACTTGCTTATCAAAGGATACATTAACATAAAGTGGACCGAACGGTAATCGTTCAAATTGGTATATTATTATTAGGTATTAATATTCTGACCTATATAGAAATATTGATTTTTGAACATTTTTGTTTTCTTTGTGAAACATTCTGGATCTTTTTTTGCCTCTTTATACAATATACATTTCATTTGAATAATTACAAAGTTTCAAACACAATGTGAATATATCCGCTAGTAGTGGCTCATTTTTATTTATCAAAATTAATTACCAAATCGGTTGATTKCAATCTGAATATTTAGGTAAATATTACAATGAATTYTTCTTCTAAAAATTGTCTTTAAGATGTATTTCAATCCCAACATTTTCAAATAAATTTAAAATGTTTACATAGGTAAAAGATATTTTGAAATTGTTTCAAACATCATGGTACCAACCTAGTTGTTACATATTATAGAATTCAGACGATTTATCGAGGTACCCAGTGGCGTATTTATGGGGAGGGGGGGGGGTGTTCAAGTTACTAAATGTTAAATAAATATTTTATTACGGTTTTTCTAATAATTTAACGATGTAGATAGACTGTCTTATATATTATAAACATAATATAGATATTTAAAACGACTACAACTGTTGGGTTATTTTGGTGTGGAGTTATCTGTGCGTTATCTTAATTGCAATTTGTGTTGCCCGGAATCGATTGACAGATAGGACCTATACACTTGTCTCCGAACCGGACTTTCATTAAATCGGACAACCTAGAGCCCCTATTAGTCCGGTTTAATAAGGTTCTACTGTATACTATTTTATTTTAATATTTATACTGTAGTCTATATCTGGATACTTGTGTACTTAACTGTATGTTTTTATGTGTTTATTTACAAAAAAATTTATTACCATTTTAAATTATTTAAAATTGACTCCATAAGAATTATTTGACTATCTCACTATTTCAAAAAATATATTCCAAAAAAAAATTAAATATATAGTCATTTTTCAAATCTCCCTCATCTAGGTCAATTTCTACTCCCCAAGAAAATATTGAACATTCGTCAAATAATATTGATTCGTTTGTTCATGAATCTGCAGAAAATAGTACTTCTCCGGTCAATTATAGTACCCGTGATATTTTTAATTATACAAAAAAAGTTTTAACACAAAATGAAATACAAGAAGTATTGACTAAAATCTGGATGCCCGATGAAAATTTTTCTTTTCCTACAAAAGCAGTTATTGTTGGACAAGAAAAAACACCGATTTTTAAAATTTCAATTTAAATGATTTTCTAGAATTCATAATAAGAGAAATAATAGAGTTAATAGAACTAAAGCTAACAGCCTAAACTTGACTCCAGAGAAGATAAGAATAGCACAAACAGAAACAAACCACACTACACAGCAAATTGAAAAGTAACAACAAAAGCTGGAGGAAACCCTTCATTTCTTACAACAACAAACAAATAGTAGTATTGAAAACATTAATAAACTAGAATTTAAAACCAGAATATTAGAACAAGCTTTTATATTTGAAGTAATATTGGACAAGTATGCATATGAAACCCAGAACCTCGTAGCTGTTTTAAATGCAACAGTAGACGGAAAATTACACACTAGTATAATTATTTAATATATGTCATGGAAATTCCTTTAATTTCCAACGATGAGTATACTATGTATCACCCGATACCATTACCGATACAATACAATGGGAATACAATAATACTAATTGACCCAGAATTAGACTACATAGGATTTAGCCGAGACGATGRACATTTCCTAATGTTAAAATTAGAACAATGGCAAAAATGTATACAAKCAACAACCTACAAGATCTGTAAGGACATTCAACAAATCCACCACAGTGCAGCATCCGAGTTATGTGCTATCTCACTAATCACAAATCACCAACCAAACTCAAATAATTGCAAGGTCAAGTTTTTATCCCTACATTCGCCAATTTGGCATAAATTATCCCAAAATAACTCTTGGATATATTATAGCCAAACCGAGATAGGAACCATAAATTGCCAAAATTCACCACACACATCTAAAATTGAGATTTCAGGGGTAGGAAATTTGACTTTATCTCCCTTATGTAAAATCCATATGGGAAATTCTATACTTTTAACAACTAATCGACCAATTAAGAATACCCAGTATGATATTATACCAGATAATAATAAAAATAACTTAATGAAACTTTTGGAAGAATCTGTGAAGAATGTTTTACCCCAGAACGTTACGAGCAACAGCCTTATTAAAGATCTTAACCATTTAGCAAACATAGCATCTGATATTAGTAAGCTTCCACACGTTTCCTCAGAACCTCTATTAATATTAAGAATTGAATTTTATGTAATAATAATTTATGTATTTTCTATATTTTTCACCATAACAATTAGTATAATAATTTATAAACTAAGAATTAATCGTATTAAAACATACAACCATGAGATACCAGATAGTAAATCAAGTATTAGTCAGGTCGATATTGAAGTATAAAATAATTTTATTCAGTAATTTTATTTAAATTTGTGAGATACCTAAACACTCATAGTGATTTYATAAGTATGCATGATCCAGATTTCACAACTAGAATAAACGATTTATAGGTACATTTTAACGTATTAGAAAACGAAACAAAAATAATTGTCCATAAATAACATCATCCCATGGGTCTAGAGAAAATTTGATAAATATAGAATACCATACTGTTTTTAATTTCCAGTAAAAAATTGTCTAATTAGAGAAAACGAAATACTTGTCCTAAACCATTTGCAAATAGTTCTGGGAAATATTTCAGTACCTATCCCATTGGGTGCATATTCCATATATGTCACATCTCTTMTATTGTCCATATTATTGCACTACCGTCTACGGAGTTTTTCATGAGAACGAGTTATCCTAAATCTTATAGGTACGTAATCATCATTCCAAAAATTATAAAATACATTTGAAATCAAGTGCAAGAGATGATTAATATATTATATTTAATGTATATTATACTTACTCTTCAATATTTTAGCTGTCGCTTTTCTCTGGGTAGTGTTCTTGAAATGCTTGTGCTGAAAAAATTCTTCCAGCATRGCGTTGAGCAAAGAATCTTCCGGTGCAGCATTTGGGATGTTATCAAAAAATTGCAGTATACCTGCCATTTTATACCTGCGTAAATAAAATTGCATATAATATTAACCTTTTTTTTTTTTTAAATTACAAAATATGATAACTTTATTAAAACAAATGATTCATATCATTTATCTGACAATAATTTTTAGAGTGAAGTTAAAATTAAATTAAAATCTTTATACCATTGGTGAAAAAAAATATTTATTAGATTCAAAATTGAAAATTCCAAGTAGTTTTTATAAACGGAGGACAAAAAAAAATATTAAAGATAAACATGAATTTTCACGCAACATCGGTTTTTGGCAAAATTAATTTTGATCTCTGGCATAACTAAAAAAAATAACCATAGATTTATGATATTTTCACTTGGTAATTTATATAGAAATTTGTTAAACACTTTAAAGTTTTCAAATATATAAGCACGTTTTTTTATAAGTTYAACTTTTTACAAAACTTATCTTCTTTCGAAAATATGTGAATTWTTTTATATTATGATCAAAAATTAAAAAAATGTTAATATGTTTAATTGTGTACAAACCTACTATTGAATTTTAAATAATGATCATGTTATAGGTATTAAAAAWATTTACTTTTAATTTAAGTATAAATAATACTATTTAACCTAGTTATAAAGTATATACCTATAGCAAAATATAGTATGCTATACCTATATTATCATATTTTTATATTTTAATTACCTATAAAATACCTACTATAGTGAAACCTCCTTTAACGGACACCTCCAAATAACGGTCGGAATTTTGGGAACGGTGAAATGTGTACTCACTGTATTTCCCATCTTAATAGCGGACACCTCCAAATAGCGGACGACATTTAAGCGACCGAGAGTGTCCGGTATTCAAAGGTTTTACTGTATAAAATATTAATGATGACAATTATGCTATTAGATATCGTTAGCAGCGGAAAWGGGGCAAATATAGGAAATTGTATATACAGAATATTGTTTTAATATTGTTTCCTGTTTATAATAGGCGACGAAATACTTTACGCACCTTTTGGAAATTCAAATATCAGAACGACATAACGATGATAGCAGTGGATTTTCTGAATTACAATATCTACATGCGCACGATTAGCAACGTTCAGCTAATCGGTTTAGGTTTTTGATTATGACTAAGTTGAGTGCATGAGACGTATTCTATGAAATAATGTGAATGGCGACTGTTATTGTATCTACTGTTCGACGACTATCAGCTTTTGTCTCCTCTGTTCCCACTCCAATGAGCTGATGTGTAGAGTGACTGTAATAGGTACCAAAGGAGGGGTACCCGAGTAACCAGTATGATCAAAATTTAAAATTTCATATATTTGTACAAGTATTTATGTAATTATTTTATAGTTACACCAAAAACTAAAATTGATTTTGTCAAAATCTTTTTTTGCGTAAAAATTTCATTTTTTCCTTATTTATGTTTTGTTTATCCCAGCGATTTGAAAATTACTTTATTTTAAAATCTGACCTTCTAAATGCTAACATGATTCACTTTCCCACGGAAAAATATGTTATTAATATCGAATAATTATTTGGACTACTATCGTGTGCACACAATCATCGTATCACCCATAATCTAAATCATAAATTTAAATATTTCAAAATTATTGTTATTTTCCAAAACAATTCAAGCTCTAATTAATGTTACTATAAATATAATTAATTAGTATTATTATTACTGAATTCAACAATGAATATATAATTTTTAGCTAAAWGCTTGTGAGTTTGAAACACTGCCAAAACAAATTAATATAAAAAGGTTCCATATAGTAAGTTCTCGAAAGTAGAATGAAAAATTACAACTGCGTTTATGTTAATTTAAACCTAACGTAATTACAAAATATTTATAAGCATGTCTACGATAAGTTGTGCATGCACGTATAAGGAATCCACACTCACATTAATACACTGCAGCCTTGAGTGGTGATGGTGACGATTACGTGGAGATTATAAATTGCCTAAATGTCACCATTAGAACAATGGCCACTAACAGACGCATAAAATGCAAGCGTTTTCTTCGTCTTACTAGCGCATAACRTAACAAATTGCACGTTCTGAATAATTAATTTAACTTCATTGTCTATGAATTTATAATGAATTGACCTAATATTATAAAATTTATAAACAAAAATTTCTGAAATACGTGGTTTTTCTATATTTCAATTTTAAAGCAAGTGATAAACATTTTAAAATGTACAAACAATTCACTATTTTAAAATACTCATAAATTGCTTTAAAATTTAAATAATAAAACGTATGCCATCGACTAAATAATATTCTTATTTATACATTTGGTAATAGGTTAATTCTTTCTAAAACCAAACATATTTAACAGAGTTAAATGAATTATTAAGAATGTACAATTTGCTATGTATGCGTTTATAGGGAGATATAATATACAGGTGTGGCGTCCTATGTAYGAAYAAAATAAGATTGGTACAACCATACAGATGGACCACCAGATATTAAAGTTGACGGCCTTGCCTTTGCAACAACCACTGTTAKTAATGCATTATAAGTGGTCCATTATAATATGGTTTTTGATCTGATTTTATTCGTTCTATTTTCTACCCCATAAATATGAGTATGTTGCAAAACTGGCAGCAGTAGAACACGGATCTCGTCTGTAACAGATTAAAAGAAATATATATATCTACCTACCACATGACAATAAAAACATTATTTACAAATCTTTAACAAAGCCATTTTATTGYACATTCTTTGTACGGTGGTGGCGACGACCGTTATATGCGTGTGTGCAATAAGGGGTGGCGGCCGGCTTCACGTGCGTGAGACTCTACGGTCACACGGGGAGGGGGTGGCCTACAGCTCTCTATAACTCGAGACGACGCCAAACGCGACAATAACAATGTCTATTGAGCTAATATTTATTATTAAACGAGTGCCAAACATTATTGTGTAGAAATCGAAAGTTACAAAAGGGGCTCTTATTATTATTATTAATATTATTTTTTTTATAAATGGATATAGATATAATCCTTATAATAATAAAGAMTATTATACACAACCAATTATATTATATAACTTATGTCTTTATATGGGTAGTTATTAATGATGTGCATAAGTGGAATTTTTAAAAACGTAGACGGTATTTACTGACAAATTTAATAATAATATAATTAAATATGAATGTATTAATTATAATCAGTTATAAAACCAAAATGTCTTAAATTTATTTTTAAAGAGTATAATAAGATACTATGAAAGTATTTGAGTCTTAAATCTTAATATTAGGTATCTAATAGGTTTCAGTATATACTTTTTGTTTCAATATAAACTTAATAAAAATGTATTAGAAAAGAATAATAAGACGTGAAATAAAAACTTTTAAATATAATTCGGTTTTGTATATTATATTTACATTTAATATTCAATATTCGTATAAAGTGTATTAAAATTTAATACCTACTACCTAGTGTTTTCAACTGATTGAAGACAAGACTATCAAGGATTTTTACAGATCTTATATAATAATATACATATAGACATTGGTGTACCAATTGCGTGTTATATAGTTATTTAACTTTAAATGCAAGTTTGCTACATCGGACATTATTTTGACCGAATATATATCAATGGTTGTATTATTAACCTACTTATTATTAGACATGCTATTCAAAATGTGTTAAAATTATTAATTTGAGAATATTCAGTTATTCACGCGTGACATTTACCAAACGCAGTACAAACGATAATGGCCAATATTAAAACGAGACGGTGATAAAAATAATGACAAATAATTACCAACGAAACAATGTGATATTGTCGGTATGTAGTAACTTAAATGCCATCAAAAGAATTATAGACAACTCTCAACGCTTTACAAATTAAACAATGTAATCATATAAAAGTAAAAAAACAATATAAAGTGCCTACTCTTGAATATTTTAAAAGTATTTTAAACAGAAATTACTWAGTCATTAAATTAATTGAGATGGTTACAACTAATTTAAAGGCTACTCAAATCTTCGTTASTAATTATTGGATTATTATAATTAATGTRATTATTGAAAATAGTATATTATTATGTATTTTCATCGAAACGTGGATGACTGCTGGAAAAAAAATGGCTGAAGGATAATGTTAAAATGGTTCGTTCCGAGTTTTTAAAAATAAATTTTACGATTAAGACAATAAATAGATATACCTACTACAGCTACTTGGGCGTAGTAGGATGTTTGTAYATAAGTATTGTTACAAATCGCCTTTATATAAGCTGTTTACGAAAAAACTATTGTTAAAAAAAAAATTCAATTCAAATAAAATGTGGTTATTTAAATTTAATGAGATTTATTTAATTGGTCATTAATGACATTCTCAAATAAATAACAAAATTATAAATTAATAACCTTGTGGAAAGTTATTAAAATAATATTTATTACTGTCCAAAGTTATCTAATTATCTTAGATTAGCTAAAAAATCGTCAATTAATCATTCATAAAAATAAAATGCAATATTTTTAAATTTTAAATTTTATCTTTTTTAAAACAAAGATTTTTAATTTAATCGTATTATGTTACTGGTAAGTTATATGAGTTAATGTCACTATCCTTACTAAAGCTATTACTCATTAGTCATGAAATAATGACTGTTATATTGTTAAGACATGTGCAATGTGCTAATGGCCAGCCAACTTTTCACCTGATACAACAGAGAATCGTAAGTTTCTAACGATTATAGCAAGTAAAAAAAATYAATACGTTGTGATATCTCGACGTAATTCGTACTCGTATTTAGAATTACATATAGGTATTTAAGTGATTAAAAATTATTTGAATTTTTACAGAGTATTTTACAAGACTGCAGCTTTTGGGGATGCAAAATATTACAAACACTAAAATAGTCACAAAATACCATCTCTCAAAATTATTTTTCATCTTTGTACCCGGGTAACGCTATATAATAGGGATGTTTTTATTTCAACATCACTTGTCCGGACCTCCGACCAACCCGACCGTCCTGCTGCCACAGACRATGATGTCGATTGTGCCGATCACGTGCAAGGCGATAGTAATCGCTAATACATTGTATACRAGGGTCACCATTGTGTATCGTGTTAGAATGCCACAAAACTACACATGCGACAGAGTATAGAGTTCTTTGTGTTCAATAACACTTCGATTATAGAGAACATATCCCTTAAAATATTATATACTATAACATATGATATGCACTCGCATGTGGTGGGTTAGTATACCCATTTTGAATCATTCATCTTATTATTATTTTTTTTTTTTTTTTTTTTGTAATCCACATACAGATCAGTGGAATGAGGGTATTTGAAGCTTGATTAATGTAAAAAAATCTGTTACAATTGTAAATTATAATTTAAATAAAAAGTCTAAATTAACAACCACCGAAAAGAAATGAATTGACAATTATTAAAACTTAATTGGTAGTATAATATACTTATATTATGATATCTACAGATACCGAATAGATATTTCATGGAACGAAAGCAAATTATACTTTGTGTCAATGTTTAACAACAATAACATTATTACCTACACCTATTGTGCGTACCTATTGCAAACGTATTTTATAAAACATGCATTTTATGAAACATGAATTTATGATCCTTGACTTTCTAACACTTGACAAAATACCCATTTTAATATATTTATTATAAGCCATAGACCTTAGAAAGTGCTCATGGTGCACAGTTTGGGAACCGCTGGTTTAAATGAATCGTGGAAGTACCAAACACACAAATAGAGGGATTTATCGGACAATGAGAGGAGAAGGATATAACCCYTATCCTCTCGTCCATAGGCATATCACTGGTAGATATCAGATCTAAAATAATTCCAATTTCATGCGGTGATCGTTTAGGCGAAGGTAATAATGTTGACCAAAAAAATAGTTCATTTAGGTGACTATCATTTATTTTATGCCGTTTGAATATGTAGGTACCAATAGGAAATCGTCMAACCAAAATTGTTCGTTATATTTAATAACTGCCTTTGTAGTGGCATATCTTATCAAATTATTTTAAAAATTATTACTGAACATAATAAAAAAAAAAAAAAACTATAGAAAGCTACTAAATAATTTTCCTATTAATTATTGTTGTTAATTATTGCCGATTGGCGATTGTGGATTTATTAAATGATTTATTAATACGATTTTATTAAATGTACAAAGTTATTTTCATTTGACACACAACCACGGTTTATGGTTTAAAATAAATTATATTTTGTTAATACTATACTAAGGTCTTAGTGGAGTAGTGATATTTTAAACTTGGTAAGCGTAAAAAAAACCATTATGTATATTATGTMGATTATAATTTAAAATGAATAGCTTAACTAAAAATAATTATTAAAACATGATACATTGATAAGCAGTATTGGGTAGTAACATAACGAAAATAACGCATTACTGTAAAGGCGATACTTTGTAATGCGTTACGTAATTTCATTAGAATTATTTCCATGTAATGAAAATGTAACAAAAATTACTTTTGATAAGTTACATAACACATTACAGTTTTTGGATGTTTAGTACCAATAATAAAAATATAGTGCATATTATATATTTATTTAATTTTAACTCACCATAATTTGGTTTTTAATTATTTTGATATGTGTACTTACACCGTAAATAATGAATAAATTTAATTAAATTTTTCTAAATATGACAATAGGTACACAGAAAGTTTCTCATGAATATAAATCAAGGACTGTTTGGTTTTTAATTTTTATGTTCCTATTAACTATTAATTCCTATAAACTATATGTAAATATAGGATAGAGTTGTTTATTGTTATTTCGAATTTGATATTTATCAATCAATCGACAGCCTATATTCGTAAAATGTATTTTTTGTTCAATATTTTTATGTATTGTTGTTTCTATATACATCTAATTAAAATTATTCCTTTTTACAAATAGTGTATTTCTAGTTAGGATACTTGTAGAATGACAATGAATTGCTTAGAGATCAAAAGTATA